TTAATTTTATGCTGTGTGAACTTAACCTCAATTAAAAAAAGAAAAAAAACAGTAGCCCCACACCCAGCCCCAGCATTGGTCAACTGCTGGCCTCAGACTTCGGAGAGCGTTCCTAGGGGAGGGCAGGAGCCAGGGGGAGCCAGGTGGAGAACTGTCCTGGGTTGCCTGCAATAGGGATGATGAGGGTGGTGCCCCCACTCTTCACAAACCTCCCCTGCAGTGGGCCAAGCCACTGGAAGGCATTGTCCGATCTGCTTTTACCTTTGTAAATAAACACGGCCCAGTGGTTTGCCAGCAAGGTATACAGAGATGGGGATCCCACTGCCTTGTCTCTCTGATGGATGAGGGTCTGCTTCCCCAGCCCAGGCCTTCAGGCACCCCTTTCCCAGACCCAGAGTGTGGTGGTCAGAGAGTCAAGGTCACCAAGGCCCACCGTTAGCCCAGCATAGCCCTTCAGAGCACCTGGCTGGGTGGGCTGGTAAGATGACCTTTGTTCTGCTCTGGGTGAGGCGTTCCCCAGTGAGGACCTGCTCCAGGTTCTCGCCCTGGTACACATTGATGAGGGGGCATTCAGGAGCTGAAATCCCAGACCCCCACACCTTTGAGAATGGGGTGGTATGGAAATGGACTTAGGGGAGTGTCCTCACCTCCTAACACATCTGGTCCAGGGGGACCTCCCTGCTTGGCTGCTCCAGGAGATGCCCTGGGTCTGAGCTCAGCTCTGCATGGGTTCCTGGGAACCACAGAGTGCAGGCTGGGGCAGAGTCAGGCTGCAGCAGGGGTGGGCTGCTGGACGGGGGCCCCAGGAGGAGAGGGAGCTGGCTGGCCGGCCTCCTGAACAGGAATTCCGGTAGATAGAACTAGAGAGCGAACACTTCCCAACTCTCAGGAGGAAAACCAGGGAGGGGCATCTTGAAGCTACTGAAAGTCTGGAAGCAAGAAAAATCAAACCAGTTGCCGTCAAGTTGACTGACTCGTGGTGACCCACGTGTGTCAGAGTAGAATTGCACGCCATTGGGTTTTCAGTGGCTGAATTTTCATAAGTAGATCACCAAGCCTTTCTTCCAAGGCACCTATAAGTGGACTTGAACTGCCAGTCTTTGAGTTAGCAGCCGAGCACATTAATTGTTTATACCACCCAGGGACTTCTGGAAGCAAGAAAGAAAAAGAACAGAAAGCAGGCTGTTGGGGGAGGCTGGAGCCCCTCGACGGGCTAAGGAAATGAGGCTGGTCCGGGGGACTGGAGCTTTGAAGATAGGTCATGTGTGGTTTGGATGGAGCAGAATGGGCGGTAATGGTGCAAGGCCAGCTTTAGGGGAGTAAGGTTGGCAGCCACAGGCATACACCGAGCAGCTGGCATGTGTGGGCTGTGACCCAGGTGGGCTGTGCAGCTGGCCACATTCTCCTTTGACCCACAGAGCCCACCCAGTGTGGTCGGGGAGATTTGGGTGGGCAGGGAGCTGCCAGGACAGGGATGTGTTAACTCGCTGAAGGGAGTGGGGCTGCTCGGAGTCTGGCATGGGATGCTGTGGCACTTTGGGGAGGGCTTGGGGTCCTCACCTGATGCTGGGGGCTGCTTTTTTGTCCCTGTTATGGGAATTTTCAAATAAATATAGTAGTATGATGGAGGCAGTGGTGGTTCAGTGGTAAAATTCTCACCACCCATGCAGGAGACCCAGGTTTGATTCTGGCCAGTGCAGCTTATGTGCAGCCACCACCTGTCTGTCAGGGGAGGCTTGCATGTTGCTACAATGCTGAGCAAGTTTCAGCGGAGCTTCCAGACTAAGACAGACTAGGAAGAAAGACCTGGCTATCTACTTCTGAAAATCAGCCAGTCAAAACCCTATGGATCATAACAGTCAAATCCACAAGCGATCACGGGGATGATGCAGGACCAAGCAGCATTTCATTCAGTTGTGCTTTGGATCACAATGAGTCAGGGCTGACTTCATGAAAAGCTGACAATAACAACAGTAGTTATAAGTTGTAGAGTATAGGAAAGCCTCGTATCCATCGCCCAGCCCAGCTCTCATCAACCCTTGCCAGCACTTGGTTGGAAGTGTCGATTGCATGCTTATTTCATGCTAGGAGGCTCCTGGTGAAGGGAAGGCCCGCCAGGCCCCCCCCACCCCCACCCCAACTCAGCCCAGACACTGCTAGCATTGCCCCTGGCTGGGAGGAACCTTACAGTTTGTTTTTTGTTGTTTGTTTTTTTTTAACCACTATGGTCATTGAGGCTGAAGAAGGGAATGTGGCCTGGGCACCAACCTGGGCTGACTAGGACCTACCTGGACTTGTTCCTTGGGCTTTTGTTGCTACCCTTTTTCTTCCATCAAAGAATTGATTTTCAGAGAATTGAGATGGACTCCGCTAGGAAAAGAGGGGGTTTCCCTGCACACACCCTTTGCCACACTAATGCCCTCACTCTCTGCCTCGCCCTCCCCCAGCCCTGGCTGGTCCAAGGTCCATCTAGACTGCCCTTGTCCCCAGAGCCTCAGAGCCCTGGGATCATGGTCCACACCCTCTGCTTTCCAGCATTCGATTCCAGCTCTGGGTAGAGCTTTGAGGAAGGTATAGCAATGGTTTGCAGGAAGGATGGAGCTGATGCAACCACAAGGCCGTGTCCTGCCAGGGGTGATAAGGCTCCAAGTTATGATTTAGCTCCTGCGTAACATTGACTTGACAGCAACTGTTTGGAGTCCCTGGGTGGTGCAAACAGTGAACACATTTGGCTGCTAACCAAAAGGTTGGAGGTTCAGGTCTACCCAGAGGTGCCTTGGAAGGCCAGGGGATCTGCTTCTGGAAATCAGCCAGTGAAAAACCCTGTGGATCCCCTGAAGTCTTTTAAAACCAAACAGTTGTTTATCTTAATTAGTAAAGAATGTCTGCCTTGAGCATAGTGCTCTTTTAAAGAACTGTCTGTGGGATTAAATGGACAATAACAACTCAAAAGATTAGATAGGAAACTTAGGGAGCAGTGAGTTTATGTTAATGAGGAAGGAACAGCTCAGAAAAGCAGGGTGAGAATAGTTATACAATTTGAAGAATGTAATCAGTGTCACTGAATTGTACCTGTAGAAACTGTTAAACTGGTGTATGTTCTGCTGTGTAGTTCTCAACAACAACAAAAATAAAATAATTTTTTTAAAAACCCAATGGAGCACAGTTCTGCTCTGACACGTGGGGCTGCCATGAGTTGGGGTCAGCTTGATGGCAGCTGAGTTTGATGCCCTCTTTACAGCTTATTGGGAGACTGGACAGGAGCCCCTGCAGCTTCCAGGGCCCCTGTACCCTTTGGCTACTCTCAACCCAGAACTAGCCTCCTACTTGGGCATTCCTGCGAACACGCCACGGCAGTGCCCTTGCTGGCCCTGATGGCACCTGTATGCAGACCCCTCAGACTCACTGCAGTTAGAGTAGCCACCAGCAGGGCACCAGACCCCACACTGAGCAGCTCAGCAGGTCTCAGCCCTCGCTGCCTACTAGAGTCCCCTGGGGAGCTTTATGAGGCCTGGGCCCAGGCTGTCCCAGAAATTCTGCTTTGGTTGCTCTGTGTTGGGCCCGGCTACGCTGTGTTTTCAAAGCTCCCGGGTGATGCTGAGAGCACCTGTTAGCAAGCACCATGTCCTGGGTGACACAGAGGTGGGGGAACTGGAAGAGGCAGAGAGTATCAGGAGGCTGGACCTTGGGCCACCTGTGGGTGCCTGCAGCCAGGGGGCAGCTCCTTCCACTACCCACATGGGAAGATTATAGGCCCCTGTGAGATTGCTGGACAGATTCCGGAAGCCTGCAGGTGGCCTGGTGCGGCCCTGTGCCCACCTAGCCTGGGGCCCCTGGGTGTCACCTCCACAGGGAGCACGAGCCCCATAGTGGGTGTGTGTGGTGGTGGAATGTGCGGTGAGGCACTTGTGGGCGCCCAGGTGTGGGTGGGGCTGCTTGGGGTATGTCATGGTGGGAGTGACTAACTGAATCAGGGAGGACCTCTGAGAAGTCCTGGGGGTGCATAGGTTCCCTTCAGGAGGCCTGGAGAGTGTCCTCCTGTGAGTTGTGGAGTCAGCTGGGCCCGGATGGGGTTGATATCCATACCGTAGATACACTCAGAACAACTCAGGTTGGAAATGGCCATAAAGGGACTACAGGATGGCTGAGGCTGGAAGACCCTCCTGGGTGTTATGATTTAGCCTGGGAGGAAGATGGTGGTTGTCTTCAGGAGCCTTTAGGACACAGGCTTATTGTGAGCTTCTGTCAAATCGACCCTGACTGGTGGAGACCCCATGTGCATCAGAGTAGAACTGCAACCCATAGAGTTTTCAGTGGCTGATTTTTCAGAAGTAGATTACCAGGCCGTTCTTCCGAAGTACCTCTGGGTGGACTCGTACCTCTAGCCTTTTGGGGAACAGCTGAGTGCGTTAACTGTCAGCATCACCCAGGGACTCTGTAGGTAGTCCTAATAGCGGGAAGAGTGGGGCTTCCCTGGAACCCCTTGTAGAAGAAGTGGCTCTGTCCTCTTAGCAGCATCCCCTCCTTTGGAAAGGGTGCACCCTGATTGGAGGAAAGAAAGTCTGGAATTTTGGCAGCCCAGCTGGGGAGGTGGGCTGTGTGTGGGGGCGGGGTCTGGCATGTGGCCTGTGCTTCTCGAAGGGTCAGACCGCCACACATAGCATGTACAAGGACCATGACTGCAAAATGCTAGCATTTGGAGTCCTCCTTTCTGTAATAGTTTGAACGCCCTCTAGGGAGAACGGCAGAAGTGCCCCAGACAGTATTCAAAAGCCTGGTCTTACATTGTTTGGGGGATAAGCCCTGTTTCACTAGGGTGGGGGGACCAGATGGGGATATGGTCGGTGTGACAGTGGCATCAGTGTACCTTGGACTTCTTTGTTGATGGGGACCGTGTCAGTCAGGAACTTAACTTGGACAGGTGAGGTATGGACAGTCGGGTTCAATGACTCTCCTTCTCTGTCTCTGACACTGGCTGCTTCTTTGCCTACACAGATGCCGCATTTGGGATGCTACCCAGTTACGGCTGCGCCACGGACTGGGCCGAGGAGCCGCAGCAGCACCAGGATGGGCTGCCCTACATCGATGACTCCCCTTCCTCCTCCCCGCACCTCAGCAGCAAGGGCAGGGGCAGCCGGGATGCACTGGTTTTGGGACCCTCGGAGTCCACCAAAGGGGTGAGTCCTGTGAGTTCTGTGGCACATTTGCCTCCCAGGTGTGGAGAGGGGGTAGGCTCGGCTGTGGCTGTCATCCCAGGCCCCCTGAAATGTGTCTCCTACTCAGGGTCACGGAGAAGGAGGTGAGTGGGTACCTCAAAGCACCTTCCGTCATCCCTCCATCTGAGGTGGGAGATGGCCTGCTGGGTTCCTTGAGCAGGAGATTGACGGAGTGCTCCGTGAGCTGGGTGTGGAGGAGGTAGGCAGCAGGCCTTCTCAGATGGTTGGCCCCGTGGGCTGCAGAGCTGGCTATGTTCCGGGGCTCCTGTGACACAGTGCTCGCCACACCTGCTCCCTTTTGCCAGAAGGAGGCGCTGTAATGATTCCGTCGACTAGAGCAGGATTTATCCAGTGATTTTCACTGGATCATCCTTAACAGTCCCATGGAGCTGGCGTTGAGGTCACCAGCACTTTTGTTGTTGTTATTAGTTGTCAGATCGACTCCAACTCGTGGTGACCTCAAGTACAACAGAACGAAATGTTGCCTGGTCCTGTGCCCTCTTCGTGATCATTGGTATGTTTGAGCCCATTGTTGTAGCCATTGTGTCAGTCCATCTTATGGAGGATTTGCCTCATTTTTGCTCCTCCACTTCGCCAACCATGACGTTTTCTTCTAGGGGTCTATCTTCCCACCTGCACTTTACAGATGTGGAAACTGAGGTGTGGAGAAGTGGCTTCCCCAAGGCCACATGGCTTCAAGTAGGGGCCCTGCCACATGCTCCAAGAAGGCCCGTGGCTCAGCCTGGCCCCCTCACGTCAGAGCACAGCCCTGGGCTTGTTGCAGGCTGAACGGAGCTGACCTGCAAAGGAGGTGTGCATCTGGCCTTGTACCGTGTCCTGACTGCTACAGTGGTCCCCGGCCCAGGAGGGTACTTCCATGGTGTCCTAGACATGCTCCTCCACCCGCCATTGTGGGGGCATCCCTTTGCCCTCTTGGGTCCCTTCCTTCTCCCACTTCTAGACCACCCGCTGAGCAGGCTGCTGCCCCCAGGGCAATGCTCCTTTCTGTGTCCTGGTCCCTTTGCCCCAGTTATAGGTTCCTGTAGACAAGGCCCAGGCAGTGTTCCCCCTTCTGCTTGGCTTGCCTCTGGGCGGTTTCCATCTGTGTTCACAAACAAGAGGGAGGGAGGTGCTCCCCCCAGGACTGCAAGGTGGAGCTCGAAGTTAGCTTTCCACTGCAGATGCTTTGCTCTGGGGCTGGGCCACATGGCTGCAGGACTGCTTCTTGTCATGCTGTGGCAGTTTTTGAAGAGCTCAGTATTGGCGGTTTCTGCCACGGGAGTGTTGGTATGGGAGTGGACACCTGTGCACCACATGCCTGCTGTGTGCAGGTGTGGTGCTCCCTGTGTAGTGTCTGACCTGGTGCATGGTCACACCACTTTACAGGTTAGGGAATGGGTTGCAGAGGGGCAGTGCTCACTCGAGGCCCCACGGCTGTGAGGTCCTGGTCCACGCTCTATCCTTCCACCACCTGACCCTCTGGGTCCGTCCCCACTCTTCCTGCTCATGAGTGTGGTTTGACAGAGAAAAGGATTATGTCCCTGAGCAAGTACATTTAATTTGGGATGGGTTGTCCTGTCCAAGAGAGCCCTGGTGACACAGTGGTTAAAGCGCTCAGCAGCCAACCAAAAGGTGAGTGTTTCGAACTCACCAGCTGCTCTATGGGAGAAAGATGTAGCAGTCTGCTTTCATAAAGATTTGCAGCCTTGGAAACCCTATGGGGCAGTTCTGTTCTGTCTTTTAGGGTCCCTTTAAGTTGGAATCAACTCGACAGCAGTGGATTTTGGATTTGTCCTGTCCATGGAATCCCTAGGTGGTGCAAACAGTGCAATCAAAAGGTTGCAGCTCCAGTTTACCCATAGGCACCTCGGAAGAAAGGCCTGGCAGTCTACTTCCCAAAAATTAGCCTTTGAAAGCCCTGTGGAGCACAGTTCTGCTCTGACACACATGGGGTCGCCATGAATCAGGGTCAACATGATGGCATCTGGTGGTGGTGGTCCTGTCCCTCCACTGTCCCCAAGGGCTTTCTTCACCTGGGCATGCCCTTGCCCCATGAGGAGGGGGCTGAACTACCTTCTCCAAGGCCCAGTTCCACCCTACTGGCTCCTGCAGAACCTACTCTCACTGGCTTGAATTGTTGCCCTCACCTTTTAGCACCTGGTTGGGGGGTGCACCTTCCTGCCCACTCTGGAGCCTGTGAATACTTCTCACATCACGCCCACACCAAGTGTCCGCATGTACCTACTTGCCTGGCTGGCAACTCCAAAACCGAGGAAGCCACCTGGCCCTGAGCAGGTGTCAGCATATGTTTGAGCCAAGTAGACTTTGAGAAGGACTGCATCATTCTGTTTGAGAGCCTTTCAGCTCTCCTGCGCCCTCTGGTTAGTGCATTCTAGGGTGGATGGCACCCTGGGTGGGTGCCCTTCACAGCCTTGGAGAAGGGTGCAGCCTACACTGTGGTTTTCACTGCCAGCCATGCAATTAGATGTTTGTCTCTGGTTTGAAGAAGACGCAGGCTGTTGCTGCCTAGCACCCGCAGGGAGTTTGGTCTGTAGTCAGGGAGGTCTCAGTCCCGGGCCAGCCCTGACCGGGGTCTCCTCTTGGAGAAGGCAGGGTCCCTGTGCTCCCTTCCACCCCTGGCCAGCTGCGTCCCCCTGAAGTTGTGGCCCCAACTCCTTGCTTATCCCCTGCTGTGAGCCCCAGCCTTTTGGCCGAGGGGCCGCAGGAGAGCATTCTAGAACTCCATGACAATGCCAGGGCTCTGGGGTCCTGGTCTTCTCTGTGAATGGCCACTCCAGGGGCAGGTGGGTATTCAGCAGAGGCCAGGCAGCCACTTTCTGGGGACTGTGGAGTCCAGCAGGGACAGGAACACCAGATGCGCGCACACCCCGCCTCTTTGGAGGACAGGGTGGGCTCTGTCGGCTCTATCATAACCAGGCAGTGGGGTGAACGCCCCTGGGGGGCTGGGCTGGGCAGCATTTCTGCAGCAGTTAAGGAGAGGGTGAGGGCCCGTCATCACCCCAGCTGACCGTCTGGGCGCGGGGCAAGCAGAGTCTGCAGTCTGTGAGCTTGGTGTGCTGAGTCCTGCCTGGAGTCTCCGAGCAAGTGGCCTGCCAGAGCCCTCATTGCCCTGTGTCCAGCCTGTTCACTTATCATTGGGACATTGAGGCCCAGGGGGGCTGCCATTGACAAGCAGCTCCTGGCCCTCTGGTGCCCCACCAGACCCTTCCTGTGTCCTGTTTTCTCCTCACAGCAACTTTGCTGGTCATGCCCCTGCTGCCTAGAGCCACTCTCCTTCACATGTGGCCGCGCTCAGGGGCCCTGTGGGGGGCAGAGCTGGGGCCACCCGCCTGCCAGGGCCTTTACCGGGGACTGTTGCCTAACCCCTAGCCCTGTGAGGCAGTTCTACTCTGTCCCATAGGGTTGCTATGAGCCAAAATCGACTTGACGGCAACGGGAATACCAGTGGATGTGATCCCGTTTGGGAATAGGGTTATACCAATTGCCTCGAGTCAACTCTGGCTCATGGTGACCCTATGTGTGTCAGAGTAGAACTGTGCTCCATAGAGTTTTCAATGGCTGATGTTTTAAAAGTAGCCTGCCAGGCCTTTCTTCCTAGTCTCTTAGTCTGAAGGCTCAACTGAAAGCTGCTCAGCATCATAGCAACATGCAAGCCTCCACTGACAGATGAGTGGTGGCTGCTCATGAGGTGCATTGGCCAGGAATGGAACCCAGGTCTTCTGCATGGAAGGTGAGGATCTACCATTGAACCACCCCTGCTCCCAGATCATGTGCTGTTCAGTCAACTTCAACTCATGCCAACCTATGTGTGTCAGACTGAACCGTACTCCCCAGGGTTTTCACTGGCTGTGATCTTTCAGATCACCAGGCCTTTCTTCTGAGTTGCCTCTAGGTGGACTCAAACCTCCAGACTTTGGGTTAGCAGCTGAGCGTTCACCGTATGCACTACCCGGGGACTTCTGTTGCTATGTGGGGGCCCAGAAAGCACGTACTCCCTCAGATGGTCCCATTGCTGCTGCCCTGCAGAGCAGGCCATCCACAGCAGGTGCTGGCAGGGCGAGCAGCCTTGGAGATCTTGGTTCCCAGTGAGCCAGTGCACCCAGCAGAGGACACTCAACTGCCTGCACCCGAGGCTCAGTCTATCCATGGTGCCTGGGGCTTGGGGTCCTACTTAACAGGGATAATGTTGTCTTAGTCTTCTAGTGCTGCTGTAACAGAAATACCACAAGTGTGTGGCTTTATTTTCTCTCAGTTCAGGAGGCTAGATGTCTGAATTCAGTGCACCTGCTCTAGGGAAAGGCTCTCTGTGTCTGCTCTGGAGGAAAATCCTTGTCTCAGCTTCTCTAGAGTTCTTCTCAGCGCTCCTTAGAGATCTCCACATGGCATCTATTTTCCCCCATTTGTGCTTGCTTCTCTCTGTGTCTATGCTGCTCTTTTTGTATCTCAGAGATGATTGGCTTAAGGCAAACCCTACACTGATATGGCCTCATTAACATAACAGAGAAACCGTATTCCCAAATGGGATCACATACACTGGTACACCCGTTGCTGTTAAATCAGTTCTGGCTCATGGTGACCCTATAGGACAGAATAGAACTGTCCCACACGGTTAGGGGTTAGGATTTATGGTGCATAATTTTTGGGGAAACACCCTAACACCTGTGCCTCCTGCAGAATAGGATGACCAGAGCCCAAGAGCCCTCCCGGGCTGCTTCATCGGCATGCCTTATGCTGACAGAGGTGGCACAGGGTTTGCACACCGCCTGCCTGCAGGGGCTCTCAAAGGGAGAACTTGCCCCCCAAGGGCTCTATGCAGTGGCCCCATGAGGGCCAGGCCTGAGCCAGGGCGTTGTGCAGCACACTTGTAAATGAGCGTGCTGCCCCTGCCCAGAGAGGAGGGGGGCCGGTGGGAGGGCTGGTCATCAGTAGACTCCCCAGCATGGGGTGGGAGTGCCTTATGCTCTTAACTGTTACTCAAGGGACTGGTTGCTCAGCTCCCATGTGTCAGCCTGGTGGTTGGTTGATAGGTGGTGGTATTTGCCAGGATCCCTCAGCCACTTTTCCTGCCCTGCTGTTAAAAGCCCAGTTCATTTTCATCCTCACAACCCCAACATGTGAACAGGGCAGTGGTGGTTCAATGGTAGAATTCTCCCCTGCCATGAGGGAGACCCGGGCTGGATTCCCATCCAGTGCACCTCATGCACAGCCACCATCCATCAGTCAGTGGAGGTTTTGCTTTGATGCTGAACAGGTTTCAGCAGAGCTTCCAGACTAAAATGGACTAGGAAGAAAGGCCTGGCAATCTACTTCTGAAAATCAGCCAGTGAAAACCCTATAGATCATGATGGTACAACATGGCAACCGATCATGAGGGTGGTGCAGGACCTGTTATGTATGGGGCCAACTTGCTAGCAGCTAAGGACCACAGTGTGACACGCAGTGTTTTCCACATTGCTGCCTTTGTGGATTTTTTCCAGTCGCAAGCCATGTGTTGGTTCCTTGTCCCCGCCCGTGTCCTGGCAGGAGGCTCTCCTTCTCTGTTGCTGCTTCTGACTTCAGGTGCCATCCCCTCTGGCATCCTCCCACCTCTGTGCTCCCGGCTGGACACAGCCCTTCCTTGCAGACCTGGCATGTGCACTGCACATCGTAAATAGCCCTGGCCGGTGTCCTGCCTTTTTCTCCCTCATTCTCTGCTCCTTCCTGCCCTCACTCCTTTCTCCAAGACAATGTTGGCTGCTCCCTGAACCCTCCCTGTCTGATGCCACCAGCCCTGGGTGGTACTGATTCCAGCATTGGAAAAGGGCCTTTGCCCTGCTTTCCTCTCCACCCAGCACACTGCCTGCCAGATGTTGCTTGGAGTTGGCCACGCCCTTCCAAACAGGGAGAACTGGACACTTGACGCCACCCTGCCTGTGCTGTTTTCCTCGTGGCTTTCAGCCTGCATAGATGACATTGGGCCCTGCCAGCCCACGGAGCTCATAGTGGTGAGATTGTTCTTCAGAACACAAGCAAGGCTGGGGTGGGCATCTGCCAGAGGGCCTTGTCATTTCCATCACCCTCTTCCCAGAGCATAGTGGACAACACGGGCAGGGTCAGCCGCACTCGTCCTGGGGGACTGCTATCAGCAGCTGGGAGGAGCATCATGGCCCCCATGTGGCATGTCTGTGCAGTGGACCAGCTGGACCACAAAGCCACTGTGGGGCCCTGAGAGTTGGCAGGACTGTCCATGAGCTGGCAGCAAGACTGGGACGAGGGCATCGAGGCAGGGGGGTGGGTGTCACAGCAGTGGCCAAACTGGGCTGCCTATTTCTATCGAACTAGCCTGAGTGCCTGTTAAATGGACCTTCGCTGATCACCTCTGTTCTGGGCACTGTGCGAGGCACTGCCCCACCTTGGAGCCACACCCAGAGCTGCTGCCCCACAGACCGGAGTGATGCAGACCTGAAGGTGCAGTGCTTGGAGCGGATTCTGAACTGTGAGCTTGATGGCTGTCCCCCTACAGACAGACAGACACATCACAGAGACAAATATACACACATACAGACACAAATGCACACAGGCACATACATGTAGGCACTCATACATACATGCGTACATTCACTCACACAGACACAGAAACACACATGCACAGACATGTATACACACTCATACACACAAACATATTCACTCACATGTATACACAGACACAGAAACACAGTCATACACAAACATTCATTCGCACATATATCACAGAAATACACAGAAACGCAGACATATACACACTCATACACTCACAAACGCGTTCACTCGCATACACACAGAAACACACATACACATTTGCTCACATACATACACAGACTCAGAAACACATGTACATATGCACACTCATACACATTCACTCACACAGACACAGAAGCGCACACATGCATGTAGACGAGACACAGACATACACACACACCTAGAAGATTCCCTGTGCAAAGCAGTGGCCCAGGAGAGCTTTCTGGATGGTCCGAGGACAGGGTACAAAGCCCGAGGGGCTGGACTGGAGAAGCAAGCCAGGACTCAGGGGTTGGGTCATCGTTTACAGCCTGGGTGGCTGAGGCTTAGAGTGAGTAAGGAGTTGCCTGGGGCCATGGGGCTCCCCAGAGCAGGCCTGGCTCAGCTTCTGCACCCTGACTCAGCCCAGGGCTCCTTCTGCTGGACCAGGGAAGTGGAGAGAGACAGCAGGGTCGAGGGCAGAGGGGAGGCCTGAGCCGCCTCAGTCAAGTCCTTTCCTTAAGCCCAGAAGTCCTCACCCAGGCTGTCTGGCCCCAGAGGACATGTGGCTCTGTCTAGAGATAACCTGAGGGAGCACGTGCTATTGGCATCAAGAAGATGGAGGCCGGGGCTGCTGCTCACCCCTGCAATGCACAGGACAGCCCCCACCCCAACAAAGACTCCACCTTAAGGGCAGCCGTGCTGAGGCTGAGAAGCAGCACTCCTGTCTGACTTTCCTCCAGTGGCTGTGAAGTGAATGGCAGAAAGGTGCATCCTCTAGGCCTGCAGGCCCAAGAGCTGCCACCTGAGGCTTCTTCCTCTCACCTGCGGGCCCAGAAGACCAGTAGGCAGGGCTGTTCCAGCAGCTATCTTGGAATCAGGTGCCTCTTTCCACACCGGTGCCTCCTCTGGTGACAGGTGGGGCAGCTGGCACGGGGCTGGGTGTGCAGTGCGGTGCCATGAGCCAGCCAGCTCCTGACCGTGGATGCCTCACCACTGGCCAGGACACAGGCGGCAGGGGTGGGGAAGAGCGAGCAGGAAGCCCAGGGCGGTTCCTGTGGCCTTCAGCATCTTCATCATACCTGGGATTGGAGCTGGATCCATCAGGTGTGTAGGCTATCCTCTGACAGTTTTGTCTGTTTCTCCTGCAGGGTGAGCTGGACTTGGAGAAGGGCTTGGAGATGAGAAAATGGGTCCTATCTGGAATCCTGGCTAGTGAGGAGACATACCTGAGCCACCTGGAGGCACTGCTGCTGGTGAGAGGCGGGGCGGGTGGGGCACTGGCAGCTCCAGTCACACAGGGCAGCCTGGGGCACCCACCCTCCAGAGAGCCATCACACTGTGGGAGGGTCAGCACATTCCACCTCCAAAAGTCGACCTCCCTCAAGAGGCCGTGGAGACTCATATGAAACTCAGTTGCCAAATCAAGCTGCTTTTACGCTGTTGTTTTTAATGGGATTTTTCTTAAAAAGCACGTGTGTCGTATCACCACCATGATCTACAGCTGTACTGTGTGCCTGGGGGCAGTGGTGGTCGAGTAGTAGAATCCTTGCCTTGCATGTGGGAGACCCAGCTTCCATTTCTGGCCAACGCACCTCGTGCACAGCCACCACCTGTCTTTCAGTGGAGGCTTCCGTGTTGCTGTGATGCTGAACAGGTTTCAACAGAGCTTGCAGACTAAGATGGACTAGGAAGAAAGGCCCACTCCTGAAGATTAACAGTGGAAACCCTATGGATCACAACAGTCTGATCCACAACCAGTCATAGGATGGCACAAAAATGGGCAGTGTTTTATTCTTTTGTACCTGGGATTGCCATTAAGTCAGGGACAGTCTTGAGGGCACCTAACAACAGCAACAAACCATGCACATGACAAAATGGCCAGCTGTCTCACTTAAACCCCCTCCCTTTGTGCCCTCTCATCTGAGCCCCCTCACCTGTGCTGTCTCACTTGGGCCCTCTTTTCAGCCCATGAAGCCATTGAAAGCTGCAGCCACCACCTCTCAGCCGGTGCTGACGAGTCAGCAGATTGAGACCATCTTCTTCAAAGTGCCAGAGCTCTATGAGATCCACAAGGACTTCTACGATGGGCTCCTTCCCCGTGTGCAGCAGTGGGGCCACCAGCAGCGTGTGGGCGACCTCTTCCAGAAGCTGGTGAGGGCAGGGGTGGGCAAGGTCTGGGGCATGTCTCCATTGCTTGGCTGCAAAGGGTGGGGGGGTATAGAGCGAGAGGCCCCAGGGGAACGTGTCATGGGCACTGCTGTCTAAACCACTGAGTGGGCTTCCTGCCCACTGCCCCACCCTGGTGACCATCACAGGGTCCTTCCTGGCCCCTCTCAGCTTCACTCAGGGTTCCCAGACTCCAGATGCACCCAGCTGCCCCTCCTGACTGGGACACGGGCCAGGGGAAATGGCAGTGGGACCAAGGGCCAGCCTTGTGCATGGGAGGCCCTGCATAGCAGGGTCCCGTGCTAAACCCAGGGCGAGAGGTACACTCGCCACCGGGAGTTCACACACATCGGCTCAGCTCGGGCAGCCCTGCAGGGCTGGTGTCCTTGTTAGAGTTTACAGGTGAGGAAAGTGAGGAAGGGACAGCACTTCACGGGATGGTTAACCCTGGTTTGTCTTTCTCCAAGAAACATACTTTTCCCACTGCCTCAAAGAGTCCCTGGGTGTTTAAACGGTTAGTGTAAACCAAAAGGTTGGAAGTTCGAGTATACCCAGAGGCACCTCAGGAGAGAGACCTGGCAGTCTACTTCTGAAAGGTCACAGCCATTGAAAACCCTATGGAGCACAGTTCTACTCTGACACACGTGGGATCCCCTTGAGTCAGGGTTGATGCAACTGGTTATGGTTGCTTCAAGCTTTCAGGTGAGGTAAAACTTGTCCAAAAGGGAGAACAGGTTCAGGGACCTGGGGGTGGAAAAGAAACGTCTTGGGCAGGAGCGGCCATATCACTGCTTGTCTTCAAGCACGTGAGGTTCTATGGTGTGTGACAAGGAGTCCCCCCCTTTGTAGGTCTGTAAGTGGAGTTGGTCAGGCTCTAGGGGCAGACTGCAAGAGGGAGTCTGGGCGCCAGGCCCTGTAGCTGTCACAGCTGGCCAGCAAGAGGCTGTCCTTAGTCCCATGAACCCCCCTCCCAGGAGTCACTCAGGGCTGGGGCCAGCAGGCCATGGGGCAGGGGCTCCCAATTCCAGGCTCTCCCAGGCCTCCTGTGCACATTCTCCTTCCGGGAGCATTCTCCATCCCAAGGGGAGCAGGTCCTCCCAGGGTACGGGTGTCCCAAGGTCATTGTAAATCATGTCAGACCAGTCCAGTCTCAGCCTTCCTTCCCTGGTCAGTCCAGACCCGAGCTGTTCTACTCAGCCCGTCTCATCCGGCTTCACCCAGGGTGTCTTAGTTATCTGGTGCTGCCATAACAGAAATACCACAGGTGGATGGTTTTAATGAAGAGAAGTTTATTTCCTCATAGTCAAAGTAGGCTAAAAGTCCAAATTCAGGGCATCAGCTCCAGGGGAAGGCTTTTTCTCTCTATCAGCCTTCTTCTCTTTGGTGTTCCCCCAGACTAGGAGCTTCTCGGCACAGGGACCCTGTCCAAAGGATGCGCTCTGCTCCCGACACTGCTTTCTTGATGGTATGAGGTCCCCCTGTCTCACTGCTCACTTCTGTCTTTTATATCTCAAGAGATTGCCTCAGGACACAATCCAGTCTTGTAGATCAGGTCCTGCCTTACTAACACAACTGCCACCCCTCCTCCCTCATTAACATCATAGAGGCAGGATTTACAACATATAGATAGGAAAATCACACAGTACCAGGAATCATGGCCCAGCCAAACTAATATACACATTTTTGGGGGGACATAATTCAAACCATGACACAGGGCCAGGTCAGCAGGCACTGGCTTCCCATCCCCATTCACCTGGGACTAGGTCGCTGGGTACAGATCCCCTCAGTCTTTCAGCCCCCTTCACCTGGGGCCAGGTCAGCGGGGCACTGGCCTCCCCCCATCTCCATTCACCTGGGACCAGGTCAATGGGCACCAACCCCCTCTCTCATCCCCTTTCACCAGGGGCCAAGTCAGTGGGTATGCCCCCCCATCCCTCTTCTCCCAGGGCCAGGTCAGCGGGTATTGGCCCTCTCTTTTTCTCATCCCCGTTCACCTGGGCCAGGTAAGCAGGCATCAGCCCCTTCTCTGTTTCTTAGGTCTGATAATCTGGTGCAGTGACTCACAAACTCCAGGGAAAAAGCTATTTTTAATTTAGCAGAAAAAAGGATAGAAACACATAGGGTGAGGTCTGGGAGGGGTCTTGGTGCAGAGCATGAATGTCCCCAGGGGACGCGCTTACCCTCCTAAGAGCAGATGTTCACTCCACCCAGGAAGCTCCACTGAGCCTCTGTCTTCCAAGGACTTTATTGGCCTCCCTACATGGCCATGATCTATGACATCAGCCTCCTGAGCCTTAGTCAGCATCGCCCCCAGGTAGCCCCTCTATATCAGATCAGCCCCCACTCATTGGCCTCAAGTGTGGTCTGCCTGTCGGGAACCAGGACCAAAGGCCAGGTTGTTTACTTCAAGGGGCTTCCAGCCCACAGCATGCCCCCTTGGGCCACCCAGACACTGAGCTCTGTGACTACCACAGCAGGCCTTGGCTCATATTAGGGCTGAGAGTTCCATTCTGAGGCGTGGCTTTCCCCTCAGCTGCCCTGCACTGCAGACTCAGTGCCCCTCACCCCCACCCCTGGTAGGAGCTAGCCCCACGTTGGGGCCAGGGGCGGCAACAGGCGCTAGTTTTGTTCCACTTCTTACCACCTGGGGCCTGGGCAGTGGCCCCTTCCTTGTTGCCCAAGAGAAGAAGGCTGTCTTGCTTTTTTTTTTTTTTTTAATCATTATTAACTTTTTTGGCACCCTGGTGGCACAGTGGTTAAGAGCTTGGCTGCTTACCAAAAAGATTGGCAGTTTAAATCCACCAGCTGCTCCTTGGAAAGCCTATGGGGCAGCTCTACTCTGTCCTAATAGGGTCGCTATGAGTCAGAATCGACTTGACGACAGTGGATTTGGTTTTGGTTTTGGATTAAGAGTTTATTGACTATTACCCTCCATGTATCGTGAGTGTCTTCCTTTTTTTAAATAATATTTTATTGAGTTTTTGGTGAAAGTTTACACAGCAGGTTAGGTCAGGGGCTTAACTAGGGTTGGTGTCACTCAGTATGGTAACTCATGGTGTCAACCGCTCCCCGCCATGGACCTTCTCCCATACCAGACCATGCAGAATCCTTAGAAATTTATATCATCAATTTTATTTTTATTGTGCTTTAGGTGAAAGTTTACAATGTAAATTAGTTTCTCATTCAAAAATGTATACACAAATTGTTTTGTGACATTGGTTGTAATCCCTGCACTGTGTCAGCACTCTCCCCCTTTTCCTTTCCACCCCACGTTCCGCTTGTCCATTCATCCAGTTTTCCTGTCCGTTCCTGCCTTCTCATCTTTGCTTTTGGGCAAGTGTTACCTATTAAGTCTCAAGTACTTGATTGAACTAAGAGGCACATTCCTCATGTGTATTATTGTTTGTTTTATAGGCCTGTCTAATCTTTGACTGAAAGATGGACTTGGGGAGTGGCTTCAGTTCTGAGTTAGCAGGGTGCGTGGGGCCACAGTCTCAGGGATTCCTGCAATCTGTGTCAGACCAGTAAGTCTGGTATTTTTTTGTGTATATGAATTTATATTTCATTCTACATTTTTCTCCTGCTCTGTCCAGGCCCCTCTATTGTGATCCCTGTCAGAGTGGTCATTGGTGGTAGCCGGGCACCATCTAGTTCTGGGCTCAGACTGGTGGAGGCTGTGGTTCATGTGATCTGTTAGTCCTTTGGACTAATATTTTCCTTTTATCTTTGGTTTTCTTCATTCTCCTTTGCTCCGAACATGATGGGACTAATAGATGTATCTTTGATGGCTGCTCGCAAGGTTTTTTTTCTTTTTTTTTTTTTAATTTTTGTATTCTACTTTAGATGAAGGTTTACAGAACAAATAGTTTCTCATTAAACAGTCAGTACATATATTGTTTTATGACATTGTTTAACAACCCCAAGACATGTCAACACTTTCCCTTCTCGACCTTGAGGACCTTTTTTTCAGTGAAAATATACATAGCTAAAGTTACATCATTTTGAAAGTTTCTACATGTACAATTCAGTGACATCGATTACATTCTTCCAGTTGTGCTGCTACTCTCACTATCCTTTTCCAAATTATTCTGTCACCACTATCTTCAAGTCACTGTCCCCATCCCATCAAACCTTTTGAGTTGCTGTTGTCAATTTGATCTCACATAGATAATTCTTTTTTTTTGTACCTTAGATGGTTTGTAGAACAAATAGACAGTACACATATTGCCCTATGACAGTGGTTAACAACCCCATGACATGTCAGCACTGTCCCTTCTCAACCTTGGGTTCCGTATCACCAGCTTTCCTGTCCGTTCCTGCCTTCCAGTCCTTGTCCCTGGACTGCTGTGCCTCATTAGTGCTGTTTTGTTTTATGAGGCTGTGCAATCCCTGGGTGAATGGTGAACTTCAGGAGGGGCTTCACCACTGAGCCAAAACGGTGTCCGGGGGCTGTACTCTCAGAGTTTCTCCAGTCTTTCAGGCCAGTAAATCTGGTCTTTTTTTGTGAGTTAGAATTTTGTTCTACATCCTTTTCCAGCTCTGTCCAGGACCCTCTACTGTGATCCCAGTAAGAGCAGTCAGTGGTGGTAGCCAGGCACCATCTAGCTGTACCGGACTCAATCTGGTGGAGGCCTTGGTAGCTGTGGTCCATTAGTCCCTTGGACTGATCTTTTTCTTGTATCCTGTTCTCTTCATTCTCCCCTGCTCCCGGAGGGGCAAGACCAGTGGAGTAGCTTAGATGGCTGCTCACAGGCTTTTAAGACCCCAGACACCACTCACCAAGGTAGAATGTAGAACATTGTCTTTATAAACTGTTATGCCAATTGAGCTAAATACTCCCCGAGACCATAGTCCCCACAGCCCTCCGCCCAGCAGTTCAGTCCCTCAGGGGGTTTGGAAGCGTCTGTGGAGCTTCCATGATCTTTCCTTGTACAAGACGTGCTGGCTTCCCCAGTAATGTGCACTGTTTTACCCTTCACCAGAGT